GGCCCGGGGCCGAGGCTGGGGGCTTGGGCCGCCCGGCTGCCCGGCCGCGGCCTCTCCCTCCCCAAGCCGCGCTTACATCCCCGCCGGGCGCCGGCCTCCCTGCGCCGCCAGCCAGTACATGGTGTCCCCCGCGGGAGCCGAGACCGGGGCTGCCGGACGGGGGGCCGGGAGAGGGGGGAGCCGCCGCCGCTGCTGCCGGGCCCGGAGCTGCTGCTGCCGCCGCCGCTGCTGCTGCTGCTGCCCCGGAGGCGGCTGGCGGCGGAGGCTCGGCTCCCAGTAGCCGCACATCCCACAATACACCGCTAAGGAGCCCGACCCGAGCGCTCACCCTCCTCCTCTTCCTCCTCCTCTTCCTCCTCCCCTCGCCTTCCTCGCCGCTTCCCCAGGCACTCGCCCGGCAGCGGCAGCTGCGCCGCCAAAGCCTGGGCCCCAGCGGCCCCCCACCCCTCACTCGCGCGCTCCCACACTGCCTCCCCCCTCCCCAGGGGAAGGCCTTTTAATTTATTTATTCTGCTGGGACCTAGGTGGGGGTCTTGGCGGGCGGGGGAGGGGGTCTCCCCGGGCTCTACCTCCCGCGGCTGAGGCTGCCCTTCGAGCCGCGGCGTGCGCCTCGGGCCTCCACAACTGTTTCCAAACTGCCGAGGCCGGGGGTGGGCGCGTGGGGGCTCGGGGGACAGGGCCGGGGTTTTGGGGTGTAATTGTGTGTCTGGACGCTGGAGCTGCGAGGGGAGGGTGGGGGGAGGCAAGACGACTCCAGACGAGTTGCAATCGAGGTATCTCCACTCCGGCTTCCTCTTCTGCCCGGCGACCCCCTCCCCCCTCCCGGAGCAGAGCCTGGGAGGGGAAACCAGGATTTTAACCAAATTAGCATTCACATTCCTGGGAGGATGCAGCCCTCGCCTGGACCTGGCTGATACAAGCTTTTTGCTCTGTTTTTTATTTTTGGAGAGCAGAGCCCTGTAATTGTCCAGAACACATGCTTCTCTCCCCCCCCCCCTCCCCTTCCTCCTCCAGCCACCGGCCGAGGAGAGAGTCCCCCCTTTTTTGCATTTATCTTTTCCTTCCCCTTTCTTTATTAAAGGTCCGGGAGAGGCGGCGGCCAATCAGCGCGCGGCTTCCATCTTGTGAGTTCAACTCCGAGGCTCCCGGGCGCCGCGAGGACGCGTTTGCAGCCCCCTCTGCCTCCCGGGTCGGGCGGCCGAGGCGCGGGGCCGCCGCGCCGGGGCTGGGTGGAGGTGTATTTCATTTTGGGGCTCTTTTCGGGGTTCGTAATGTGGCCGTGGGTAGGTAATTGGCTGGAGCAGGGCGGCAGGGCGCGGCAGCCAATCCGCGCGCGGCTTCTATCGGGCTTGAGTTATTAGACGCTGATCTCAAAACATCCTTCATCAGACACCAAGGAGAGGCCATCAGATGAGGGGAGCCATTTTTCTGCAATGGAATTAAATGGCCAAGTGGGTTTTTCCTTTGTTGCAAGTGGGGAATGCTTTTTCCTTTGACTCCACCATCCCGTTCAGGACGCCTCAGTGTTGTGTGTAACATTGGTCAACAGGCTAAAGGACTCACAGTTGGAAGAATGAAGACTTTTTTTAAAAAGATCTGGATTTTTCCTTATGACTTGGAATCCATCTTTGTCTTGTATAACTAGGTCATAGCACACCATTAATGTCAGCAGTTAACAATTTCGAATTCCAAAAAAAACTAAGTAAATGACATATTTAATTTTTTTTTTTCCTCTTTTTTTTCTTGGGTGGGTGGTGGGGGGGGAGCTTGGAGCTGTCTTAATCTGTATTCTCTTAACTGAACAATAAATTTTTAAATATATATATATAGTTTCCTCTATTAAACACTTAAACCTGGCCATCTTATTAACTCCTCTCTTTTTTAACAAGGTAATGTTTTAAATGTATAGTTTTAGGACTAGCGAAATGGCAGCAACAACAACAAAAAAAAACTGTAAGCAGTCGTTAACTCTTTTAAGTTTTTAAAAAACCTTTTACATTGTAAGTACCCAGTCCATTCTGTCCTTAACGCAGTGCAGTTTTCATGTTAATGTCGCTGAGATGTCCTTAATTTTCTGAACCTTCATCTGCATGTCTGTCTTTGTCGCTCTTGTCTAGTATATAAGCCAGTTAAAATGCTTTTAGACGACTTTGCTTTTATAAAGCTAAGGCTTGAGCTTGAAGCTTTTAGAAAATGTTTACAGCAGTAAATGCCAGTCAGCTTTCTTCCCAGTAACAGGTACACTTTCTTTGAAAATCGATCTGCTTGGAGGAAAACAGCTCTGTTTCTCTGGTCTTGGTGGAGGGGTGGGTGAGGGGAAAGGGAAGACCTCTTTGTTAAGAGACTAAAAGCCGTCACAGGAAACTAGATTAAAACTGGAGAACAAGTCCTGGCTGGTTCGAGCCAAACACCAACGTTAACTCGTGGGTATTTTCTATGGTGGTTGGGATGGCCGCGTGTCTTTTTGCCTTTTGTTTGATTTGATTGTGTGTTTTCGCCTTTTGTCTCTTAATGACGGTCACACCATTGCTATATCCAGAGCAGTAAACAGCCCTCAGCGAAGCCGCCTTTTGCCAACCCAACCCTGGAAAGTTCACAGAAGTGGAAGGAGCAGAAAATGCCATGAGAGTGTAACTTACAAAAAGGTAACAGCAGCAACAAAGGCACCACCATTTCCCCAGATATTCCCAACTAAACAATCCCCCACAACGATTTTTTTTCCCCCCAATAACAATCTCCCAACCCTCCGCCCAGCTTGATTTGCAGACTCCATGGCACCGGGCTGAACGGGTAAGTTAAAAAAAAAAAGTGCCTTTTGCCCCTTCGAGGAAATCTGTTTTCCGAGCAGGCCAAAGGCTGCAGATGTGTGGGAGCTGAGGGGAGAAGGTGTGTGCAGCTTTATGCTTGACAGCCGGGTTCGGGGAGGGCTTGGGGGCCGAGGAGGGCTCTTCGGACCCTGTGCCCCCTTCTGCCCGGGGAGGCGAGAGGGGGGCTCCCCGGCGACCTCGGGCATCCACGCAGCTGCCTGCGCTCTCCCCTTCGCTTCTCTAGATCTGAGCTGGTGTGGGGAGAAGAAAATTTGCAGGGGTTTTGGAGGTGGGGAGTACTCAAAGAAGACCGAGGAAACCGTCCCCCGCCAGAGGCATGGGGGAGACCCTTTTTCCTTTTAGGCCTGGAGAGGGCTTGGGGACCTCCGAAGGCCCGGTACCTCGGCCTTCCCCGGGCTGGCGCTGTGCGCTCTCCCTGTGAGACCATCAAAGGAACAAAAGGGGTCCGGGCTGGTCCAAA